GATAAAATAAAGAAAGGGGGAAGGAGAACAGATAAAATAAAGAAAGGGGGAAGGAGAGCAGATTAAGATAAAGAAAGGGGGAAGGAGAGCAGATAAAAAAAATAAAAAGGAAAGAGGGCAGATAAAAAAATAAAGAGGAAGGAGGGCAGATAAAAAAAATAAAGGGAAAGGAGGGCAGATAAAAAAATAAAGAGGAAGGAGGGCAGATAAAAAATAAAGAAAAGGAGAGGGATGGCAGATAAAAATAAAGGGGGAGGAGAGCAGATAAAAATAAAGGGGAAGGAGGGCGGATGAAAATAAAGAAAAGGGGAAGGAGAGCAGATGAAAAGAAAGTAAAGGGAAGGAGAGCAGAGCAGAAGAGAGAAAAAAGCAGGAGAGCCGTACTTCCCCTATCTTTTCACAGAATAATGGTGGTATATCATATACAATATAACATAACAATATTAAATATTAATAATATAATTATATTATTTACTATAATTATAATATATAATAAAATAGTTTAACACAATAGGGTCTGGAATACACATTTGTGTTCCTGATGCTATAGTGTTCTGTTAACCCCTTCAGGACGGAGTCAATAGTGCACGTTCTGATCAAAACAAAACATAAACAAAAACTGGAATTTGCGCTATATGTCTGTTCAACCGTAATTCACCTCTTTCATATTATATGCACCCACCCTTATTATATATCATTTTATTCAGGAGAAACAGGGCTTTCATTTCATATCAAATATTTATATATGAAACATAATTTATTAAAAAACTTACATAATTTAAAAAACTTTGAAATTTTTTAAATTTTTTTAAAACTATGTAGTTCCGCCTCACATTTTAGCTGTAAATGTCATAATACTGTTAGGTATTACTGCAAAAAAATGCAAAACTCTCAAACTTTCCAAAACACAATAAAACCTGTACATGGGGGGTACTGTTATTCTCGGGAGACTTCACTAAACACAAATATTAGTGTTTTAAAACAGTAAAACATATTACAACAATAATATAGTCCATAAAAGTGCAGTTTGTTTGTAAAAAATGCAAAAAACTTCACTTTTACTTAAAATATCATTGTTGAAATACAATTTACCAGTTTGAAACACTAATATTTGAGTTCAGCGAAGTCTCCCGAGTAAAACAGTACCCCCCATGTACAGGTTTTATGGTGTCTTGGAGAGTTACAGGGTCAAATATAGTGCTTGCAAATTAAATTCTCTGCACTTTCTCCCTGTGTTGTCAGGCATGTCAATCAAATTTTAATTAATCAAATCACATATCCTTGGTCCCCTACTGTTCTCCATCTATACTGCCTCCCTTGGTAAACTCATTAGCTCCTTTGGCTTCCAATATCATTTCTATGCAGATGACACGCAAATCTACCTGTCCTCTCCTGATCTCTCCCTGTCCCTCTTGACTAGTGTCTCTGACTGCCTCTCTGCTGTTTCTAACTAGATAGCTGCCCACTTCCTTAACCCCTTAAGGACCAAACTTCTGGAATAAAAGGGAATCATGACATGTCACACATGTCATGTGTCCTTAAGGGGTTAAACTAAACTTGACCAAAACTGAAATTCTGGTCTTTCCTCCCTCAAGTGTTGTTACTCCTGTGTCTGTCTCCCTCCAAGTCAACGGTGCTACCATCAGTCCCACCACGCAGGCTCGCTGCCTAGGTGTTCTCTTTGACTCCGACCTCTCCTTCAAGCCTCATGTTCAATCTATCGCCAAATCCTGTCATTTCCATCTCAAAAACATTGCGCGCATCCGCCCCTACTTAACGCCAGATGCGACTAAGGTGTTGGTCCATTCCACTGTCCTTTCTCGCCTTGACTACTGTAATCCGCTTCTCAGTGGTCTTACGTGCTCCCAACTAGCGCCGTTACAGTCCATAATGAATGCGGCGGCGAGGCTCATCTTCCTGTCCGCCCGCACCTCCCATGCCTCACCCTTCTTTCAGTCCCTACATTGGCTTCCTATAAAATATAGAGCTCAATTTAAAATTCTGGTTCTTTCAAATCTCTACATAATGCTGCTCCCACCTATCTATCCTCCCTTATACACAAGTATGTCCCGTCTAGGCCCTTACGATCTGCTGAAGACTTACGTCTATCGTCTGTCCGTACTTCCACCTCTGATGCTCGCCTTCAAGATTTCTCGAGGGCTGCACCATTCCTGTGGAGCTCGCTTCCCTCCTCCGTTTGATGCTCACCTAGTCTCCACTCCTTCAAAAAATCGTTAAAAACCCACTTCTTCATAAAAGCGTATCAATTAAACTGTTAATAGCTCCTGACTGATTCCTCTTCTGCAACTGTCACTAGTCTAATACTATCCTTACCTTTTTGTGTCATTTTACCCCACTCCCTCTAGCATGTAAGCTCATTGGGCAGGGCCCTCAACCCCTCTGTTCCTGTGTGTCCAACTTGTCTGGTTACAACTACATGTCTGTTCGTCCACCCATTGTAGCGCTGCGGAATTTAATGGTGCTCTATAAATATCATAATAATAATAATAATAATAATAATGTTAAAAGATTACTTAAATATACACGTAGAATTTTAACATATATGCATTTATAGGTATTTAAATTTTACGTGTATACTAATGTAATCTTTTATGTAATTATATGTATTTATCTATCTATATATATATATATATATATATTTGCGGTTATTTGTATTTTATATATAGATAGATATATATAGAATGTCATTCTAAGTGTATTTTGTTACCAATATATATATATATTAATAACAAAATACAGTTAGAATGAAATTACATATGAATATATAATTTATATTAAATTTTGTTTCAATATTTTATTTATTTTATTATTTTATTATTGTAATTATACGTATATATATATATGTGTATATATCTATTATTTTAATACTAATATATATATACTTATATTAATATTAAAATACATTACGTATGACGTTACATATATATAATATGTATACACATATATTATTTATATATATATTTTTTTTAAATTTATTTTTAATTTAATTATTATTATTTTTACACTTTCCACCAGCAGGGGGACTGTCTGATATTTCAGACAGCCCCCCTGCTGGCAGATCTCTCTTTGAGAGCGATCACATGGCCTCATTTGCTGGGGGGAGGGCTTCCTGGGCTGTCAGGCAGCCCTCCAGAAGAGGATCGTGGCGGAGGTAAGTAGCTGCGATCCCCTGCGGCTCAAAGCCGTTACGGCGTTCTATGCCGCCGCAACGGCTTTAAAGCCGCGACGGCATAGAACGGCGTTAAGGGGTTAATACACTGACAACTTTATTTCAGTTTTAGGAGACACCAACAAGAATAACTGAGTAGTCAGGCACAAACCTTTTATCTATACCCAATGTTTGTGATTGATATTTTGTAGAATACTATAATTACAAAAATAACTTTGTGAATACTGAGATTGTGAGGTTTATTAATGTTTGCCTTAAAATATGCAATTTATACAGTTAATTTTAATATCGCCTGTCTATTTTTTTGATCGCGCGTGGGGGGCCTCATATTTGATTTTTGCCTAAGGCCTCAAAAAGTCTAGAGCCGCCTCTGACATAGCGATCATCGCTATATATATGTGCAGAGAGGGAATATGGGGCCCAGGACTGCCAAAGCAGTACAGGCCCCCCAGGACCGCCGGGCCCGTGACAACCGTCATGGTTGTCAAGCCCTGATGGCGGCCCTGTGTTCTGCGTACGGATAGCTGTCTGAGAGATAACACTGTTTAATGAACTTGGCCACATCCATGTCATATGTTTTCTACATGAAACACTTTTAAAACCATAATTACTAAAAGGTTTTTACTGTGGAGCATGTGGCAAAATAGAATGTCAAGAATAAATTGTATTTAAGTATGAAAAGTGAATACGTTATCCAAGGGGAGAGTATTTCAAAAGTACTACATAAAATAGTACAATTGGTGTGGTAAAAAGTGCTTGCGAGGCAATGGGCATATAATCTACTGCTAGGTTATTAACTGACATGGTTCTGTGTGTCCTGTGATTGTATGGTGTTAATAAAGATAGTTGTAATGAAATGGGACCAAGCCTCAAATTCCAATGGAACCTTTAAGTATAAAGCCACCCTTAAATTCATAAATTGGATTTGTCAAAGAGAATTAGAGGGATGTTCCTGTAACATCGGTGTTGTCTGAAGCTGTTGTAGCTGTGCAGAGAATAGACATTTCTCTTTACCATTAGTCTATTCTAGAGAGGAATGGCAATAGGAAGCAAAGAAGAGAGATCCATTGTGGAAATAATCTCCTATTCACTCACTTAAATCCCTACAGTCATAGGCGTGCGCAGCCAATTGCATTAGGGTGTGCACCCTAAAGCACAAACACACGCCACGCACGTGTGTATGTATCTCTCTCTCTCTCTCTCTCTCTCTCTCTCTCTCTCTCTCTCTCTCTCTCTCTCTCTCTCTCTATATATATATATATATATATATATATATATATAAACACACACACACACACAGCTGTGTGTGCTGTTAGTGTGCTGTGTGCTGTTAGTGTTATGTGTGTGTGAGGGTGCGTGTTTGTGACTGTGCTGTTTGTGTGTGGGGGTGTTTGTGTGTGTATGTTTGTCCTGTGAGGGTGCTATTTGTGAGGGTGCTGTTAGTGTGCTGTGTGTGAGGGTGTTGTGTTTTTTTTAAAGGTGCTGTGTGTGTTTGTGAGGGTGCGGTTAGTGTACTGTCGCTCAGATATCGCGAGAGGAACCTGGCGGAGCTTCTGTCTAGAGCTCCCTGGGTCCTCTACTGCCTCCCTCCAAGCTGCTGTGGGCCGGTGAGGTAGATCTTTGGTCTCCCCGCCGGCCCATGAATGCTTAGAGCAGAGCCGGCACTCAGATAGCGCCGGCTCTGCGTGTGTATGTGTGTATGTGTGTATATATATATATATATATATATATATGTGTATATATATATGTACACACACACACACTGACAGACACACACACATACATACTCACAGACACACACTGACACACACACATACATACTCACAGACACACACTGACACACACACATACATACTCACAGACACACACTCACAGAAACACACACACTCACAGAAACACACACACACTCACAGAAACACACACACACTCACAGAAACACACACACAGACACACACACAGACACAGACACACACACATACTCACAGACACACACACATACTCACAGACACACACTCACAGACACACTGACACACACACATACATACTCACAGACACACACTCACAGAAACACACACACACAGACACACACACACACTCACAGAAACACACACACACAGACACACACACATACTCACAGACACACACACACTGACACACACACATATACTCACACACACTCACAGACACACACACTGACACACACACATTATTATATATATATATATATATTTTTTTTTTTAAATGTCCACCCAGCCTCCTACCTGGAGTGCTGGTGGACTTGTCCCTGGGGTCCAGTGGGGGCGGGCGCCTTTCTCCAGTTCAGCCGCGGCGAGGGAGCTCTCTGCTCTCTGCTGTCTGCTCCCTCTCGCCGCGCGGGCTGTCTGCTGGAGCCGGAATATGACGTCATATTCCGGCTCCCGGCATCAGCGCGCGGCGAGAGGGAGCAGACAGCAGAGAGCACACAGCTCCCTCGCCGCGGCTGAACTGCGGGGAGGGGGGAATGGGGGGGGCGGGGGGGTAATCCATCACCTCTTGCCCCCCCCCATGACAGGGGCAAGAGGTGAGACAGGGGGCGCTGAGTGCCTGCAGGAACAGCGTTCCTGCTCAAAAAAAGTGCAGGAACGCTGTTCCTGCAGGACTCAAGCCATAGGCGTGCCACGGGGATTAGGGTGTGCCCAGGCACACCCGGCACACCCCGTGCGCACGCCTATGAAGGGACACTCCAGGCTCCCACACACGTTAGGTGCACTGTGTAGGTTAGGTTACAGTTAGTTATACTGGGTTGGTTTATATTATTAAAGGGACACTCCAGGCTCCCACACACGTTAGGTGCACTGTGTAGGTTAGGTTACAGTTAGTTATACTGGGTGGGTTTATATTATTAAAGGGACACTCCAGGCTCCCACATACGTTAGATGCACTGTGTAGGTTGGGTTACAGTTAGTTATACTGGGTGGGTTTATATTATTAAAGGGACACTCCAGGCTCCCACACACGTTAGATGCACTGTGTAGGTTAGGTTACAGTTAGTTATACTGGGTGGGCTTATATTATTAAAGGGACACTCCAGGCTCCCACACACGTTAGATGCACTGTGTAGGTTAGGTTACAGTTAGTTATACTGGGTGGGTTTATGTTATTAAAGGGACACTCCAGGCTCCCACACACGTTAGATGCACTGTGTAGGTTAGGTTACAGTTAGTTATACTGGGTGGGTTTATATTATTAAAGGGACACTCCAGGCTCCCACACACATTAGATGTACTGTGTAGGTTAGTTTATAGTTATACTGGGTGGGTTTATATTATTAAAGGGACACTCCAGGCTCCCACACACATTAGATGCACTGTGTAGGTTAGGTTACAGTTATACTGGGTGGGTTTATATTATTAAAGGGACACTCCAGGCTCCCACATACATTAGATGCACGGTGTAGGTTAGGTTACAGTTAGTTATACTGGGTGGGTTTATATTATTAAAGGGACACTCCAGGCTCCCACACACGTTAGGTGCACTATGTACTAGGTTACAGTTAGTTATACTGGGTGGGTTTATATTATTAAAGGGACACTCCAGGCTCCCACACACCTTAGGTGCACTATGTAGGTTAGGTTACAGTTAGTTATACTGGGTGGGTTTATATTATTACAGGGACACTCCAGGCTCCCACACACGTTAGATGCACTGTGTAGGTTAGGTTACAGTTAGTTATACTGGGTGTGTTTGTATTATTAAAGGGACACTCCAGGCTCCCACACACGTAAGATGCACTGTGTAGGTTAGGTTACAGTTATACTGGGTGGGTTTATATTATTAAAGGGACACTCCAGACTCCCACACACATTAGATGCACTGTGTAGGTTAGGTTACCGTTATACTGGGTGGGTTTATATTAATAAAGGGACACTCCAGGCTCCCACGCACGTTAGATGCACTGTGTAGGTTAGGTTACAGTTAGTTATACTGGGTGTGTTTATATTATTAAAGGGACACTCCAGGCTCCCACACGCTGACTCAGCTGAACTCAGAAGCTTGAGATAAGGATTAAAGCCCTCACACTCTCCAGTCACCCTAAATGTTGAAAAAAGCAGGAGCTAAGTACTTAGTATGTTTGTGAATCTAAAGTCCTGGGTTTCCACCGGTTACCGATTATATTTACAGTGTTAAGGAAAGACTGCATCTGAAATATCCAATATCGATATGCAAAACAGAGGTATAAGATATAAAATGCACTATATAGCATTTAGAAAAGGACCAATATTAATAAACTTCACAATAAAATAATATTTCTAAAACAGTGAAACACTCCAAGTTCTAACTCCCAAATATTCACGCCCACAGGCTGATGGGAAGAACTATTTTTACATTTGTGTTTTTATCGTTTTTTGAGATACAAGAACCAGGCCAGCTCCATCTTTCTTCCCTTATCCAGTCTAACTCTCAACAGATACAACTTTCTATACTATAGGTAAGTTGCACAGAAATGGAATGTGGGAGTTATAGTCAGGTAAGTGCTTGATGTAAGAGTTTAAATCCTCCTTGTGGAGATCATTTCAAACACAGCACAGAGGCTGCTGGCTAAGCATCATTAGAGTTGCTGGTCTTATCGCATGACCTTGTCACTCAGTAACTGCCAGAGCTACACGCATGGTGGGTATGTCAGCAATATGTGATTGTGGTCATTTATTTCTAAAGCATTCATTATGCGAACTGTGTACAGAAATGTGTCCTTTGTGTGAAATTGCTTTTGGTTACATTTGTTGCATTGATACATTGATACATATTATGGAGAATGATTAATTTTCTAATTTATTTGATCTATCCACACTGGTGTTACAAAGGAAGAACGCTTCACATATATCACATATACATAACAAGGTCAATATCTGGAGAATAATTAAACACTAATCCATTTTATTGTCAGGTATTTCAGCGAACCATCACCACCTCTCAGCAGCGTGTATTATTCTATACTTATTATACACCCCCCCGTATTATTGTGAAAACACTATTTAAAATAAATAACAATAAAAATAATAAACATTTAAAGAAAACACATTTACTAGGTATAATTCTGTGCCTATGGCACTCTTCTGCAGTTTACCCAGAGAAAATTATTTTGTATGCAACACTAAAGAGTGGATATTTTGTGTAATTTTCTCCAAAATCAAACTTGGAAGAATTAAGATATAAACTGGCAATTTTACAAATAAATAATAGTTACATTACAGTAGAGGGAGGTACAGTAAGTGCAGTAGGTATACAGTGTATGTATATTGTATTTATATAGCGCTAACAGGTGTACTCAGCACTTTACAGGTTACATTACAGTAGAGGGAAGTACAATAAGTGCAGTAGGTATACAGTGTATGTATATTGTATTTATATAGCGCTAACAGGTGTACTCAGCACTTTACAGGTTACATTACAGTAGAGGGAGGTACAGTAAGTGCAGTAGGTATACAGTGTATGTATATTATATTTATATAGCGCTAACAGGTGTACTCAGCACTTTACAGGTTACATTACAGTAGAGGGAGGTACAGTAAGTGCAGTAGGTATACAGTGTATGTATATTTTATTTATATAGCACTAACAGGTGTACTCAGCACTTTAAAGGTTACATTACAGTAGAGGGAGGTACAGTAAGTGCAGTAGGTATACGGTGTATGTATATTATATTTATATAGCGCTAACAGGTGTACTCAGCACTTTACAGGTTACATTACAGTAGAGGGAGGTACAGTAAGTGCAGTAGGTATACGGTGTATGTATATTATATTTATATAGCGCTAACAGGTGTACTCAGCACTTTACAGGTTACATTACAGTAGAGGGAGGTACAGTAAGTACAGTAGGTATACAGTGTATGTATATTTTATTTATATAGCGCTAACAGGTGTACTCAGCACTTTACAGGTTACATTACAGTAGAGGGAAGGTACAGTAAGTGCAGTAGGTATACAGTGTATGTATATTGTATTTATATAGCGCTAACAGGTGTACTCAGCACTTTACAGGTTACATTACAGTAGAGGGAGGTACAGTAAGTGCAGTAGGTATACAGTGTATGTATATTTTATTTATATAGCTCTAACAGGTGTACTCAGCACTTTACAGGTTACATTACAGTAGAGGGAGGTACCGTAAGTACAGTAGGTATACAGTGTATGTATAATTTATTTATATAGCACTAACAGATTATATTATAGTAGAGGGAGGTACAGTAAGTGCAGTAGGTATACAGTGTATGTATATTTTATTTATATAGAGCTAACAGGTGTACTCAGCACTTTACAGGTTACATTACAGTAGAGGGAGGTACAGTAAGTGCAGTAGGTATACAGTGTATGTATATTTTATTTATATAGCGCTAACAGGTGTACTCAGCACTTTACAGGTTACATTACAGTAGAGGGAGGTACAGTAAGTGTAGTAGGTATACAGTGTATGTATATTTTATTTATATAGCGCTAACAGGTGTACTCAGCACTTTACAGGTTACATTACAGTAGAGGGAGGTACAGTAAGTGCAGTAGGTATACAGTGTATGTATATTTATTTATATAGCGCTAACAGGTGTACTCAGCACTTTACAGGTTACATTACAGTAGAGGGAGGTATAGTAAGTGCAGTAGGTATACAGTGTATGTATATTATATTTATATAGCGCTAACAGGTGTACTCAGCACGTTACAGGTTACATTACAGTAGAGGGAGGTACAGTAAGTACAGGAGGTATACAGTGTATGTATATTTTATTTATATAGCGCTAACAGGTGTACTCAGCACTTTACAGGTTACATTACAGTAGAGGGAGGTACAGTAAGTGCAGTAGGTATACAGTGTATGTATATTTTATTTATATGGCGCTAACAGGTGTACTCAGCGCTTTACAGGTTACATTACAGTAGAGGGAGGTACAGTAAGTGCAGTAGGTATACAGTGTATGTATATTTTATTTATATAGCGCTAACAGGTGTAATCAGCACTTTACAGGTTACATTACAGTAGAGGAGGTACAGTAAGTACAGTAGGTATACAGTGTATGTATATTTTATTTATATAGCGCTAACAGGTGTACTCAGTACTTTACAGG